ATACATTCCAGAGGTCAGTAGGTTTACAAGTTGTGTGTACACATTATGTTATCACCATTTGGTCTGAATACATTCATTTTTGATAAAATCAGACCACCAGGCACAACCAAGTCTTAGAAAAATGTTCTACTGCTATATAAATGTGCAGGATTTACAAAAATGCACCATATGAGCCTCACTCATTCATTTAAAACTCCCTTAGCAACTATACTTAATAATCTGAGCCTATTAACATCTACAATAAACTCCATTATGCACTATGTCAAAGAAAAAAAATATTAACTAAGCGATTTGATTCTCATTTTAAAAAGACAAACAGCCATAAAATGAATAGCAATGGCTCCTGTAATAATCAGGCTTCTTATGCTAAGCAGGTTCAGTCTGACCAGTGCTTGAATGGAAAATTTCTAGAGAAAAGCCAGGTGCTAAAAAAAGTTCTGTTGGTGATTTAGAAGGTGCTATACTTCCTTTGATAGTGTAGAACAATATGCCAGCATGAATTGCAAGACTGGGTCATTCTTGTTTTCTGATGTGCTCTTCCAGAAAAGTATGTATTTCTTATGGCAGGTATTTACCATCTGATCTATGTTAACTAGAGCAGATAATACCAGGCAAGAAAGAGTAAACTCAGGAGAGACTGTAGTGATTGTAATGGGCATGGACTAAAGCTGTAGATCCTCTCTCTAATATTAAGTGTTTCAATATTGTAGATGGTTGCTCACGTTCCTTACCTCCAGCCATTCATTCTCCAGTTGTACTTCTCAGAATTAAAGTGATATATTAAGCACTAACATGTAATATTAGTATCTCTTAATATGAGATAAGAAGAATGGCACACAAATTTAAGCAGACAGTTCTCTCCTCAGATTCTGAAGAGACAAGAAATGCAGAGCTAAGGATGAAACTCCACCCTAATGTTTCTGCCCTAAATGACACAAATGGGCTTCTCCCCAAACCATTTATTCTGACTTAAAATTATTTTATATAATCTAGTTAATGCCAGACCAAAGGCTCTCTCTCTCTGGAAGTCTGTGCTACTGTTCTTTCTGCTGTAGGCTTAAATCAAAGTTAACAGAGTATTAGATGCATTGTATAAGTATAATATCTCTATCTATCTATCTATCTTTCTGGCTATTAAATTTACTACAGCTTATGCATATGTAGAACTCACTTGTAGTTTTCACTTCAGTTAAAAAAAGAGGGAGTAGAATGTACAAGTGAGCTGCATTTGTAATCATTTTGCCATGGAAACCACCACACTGTGGAATCCCAATCTGCTTGTAAGCAGTGGTTGCTAAGGAAAGGAAAGGAGAAGTAGACAGCTGCTGGCAGGCTATCAGAGAGACTCAATGCCAGTTGATAGGAAAGTGATTAACCTCCACATTCTCTTTCCTCATTATTATATCACTGCTTACTTTTAGCATGTATTGTTTCATGGTAAGTGACTACTGTAATTTTCTTTCCAAAAAGATGTGAGATCAGTAACAAGTGTTCCTTTTTAAATGGAAGTACCTCATCTAATAGCTTATGTTGCTTTATTTACTTACCTGAAAAAACTCACTGAAGATTGTATATTTTGCATAACAGGAACCAAGTAATAAATGTCTCCTGTTAAAAATGTAACAGCAGAAATGAAGATAAGCACTTCGTTATTAAAAAGCAATGTAATCTCTCCCTAGTCCCCCAACTAAGCAACTGGCATGCTTTCCCCAGGGTTACTAAAAAGGTGGCACCATCAGAATGCTGACGCGGTTCTTAGGACCAGCCCCACAACATGTAACTAGCCATGACTGAGGTACCCAATTTGGGGTACCACGTAGGGTGCAGCCTCATGAAACTAGTGATTGACAAGGCACAGACCCTAATACCATGCCCAATTCCCTGGAAGAAGAGGCAAATGAGGTATTTTATCAGCCTGGCAATTTATTACTGGAGGTTTATCCTCAGTTTTACCTCAATCTCAGCCTGCCTTAAAGACCTAATTAAAGGTAAACCACCCAAGGAAGATGTGGTGGGATTGGAACAGGGAGGAAGCTTTTAATGAACTGAAAGCACAACTATGCCGGGCACTTGTGCCCTTCGGCCCTGATTTTTCTTGTGAATTCATACTGCACATAGATGCCTCACATGTCTGCCTAAGTGCCTTGCTCTCAGAAGACACTGAAGAAGGCCACCACCCAATCATATACTTGACTAGGAAGGTATTCCTTAGAGAAAAGGCCTACACAATTACTGAAAAGGAGGCACTAGGGATCAAATGGGTCACAGATTCTCTTAGGTATTACCTGCTAGGTAGCCCCTTCTCCTTGATCACAGATCATGATCCCTTCTATTGGCTCCATACCATGAAAGACGTGAATCCATGTATAATGCGATGGTACCTGGTGCTACAACCCCATAGTTTCAGAGTGCAACTCCAGACAGGAAAGGACCGTGTTAATGCCAGTTTCTTTTCCTGGAAAATCAGAGATGGAGATTACCTATGCCAAGACTGCAGGGGTGAGGTTGTGAGGGGTAATTTCGTCAGTCTCAGAGAGGCGGCAGCATATGAGCCCTTCTGGGCTCAGCCAGCACTAAATATACACCTGTGAGACTTGATCTGCCTGGAGGGAGGAAGCTTAAAAAGGGAAAGCCTTCCATAGGAAGTGGTGGTGACTAGGGAGAAAATTGCTATACCTGAGAGACCACTGGCCACGTAGACAGACCAGCAAGAGGAAGACAACTGTAGAACTTGCAGCCCCTGAGACTGCATGAACCAGATATAAAGCAGGGGTGACCAAAAGGAGGGGCTGGAGGCAGACCCTACCCCTGATTAAGGACAGAATACCTGCAGATAAGCCAAACCCCAAAGGAGAAACCGAAAGACTGCCTAAGAGACTGACCACCTTTGCCTTTTACTTTTACTCTGATTCTCCCTCTCCCAGGGGAAGGAGAGGGAAAAGGGCCTTTTTTAAAAAATCCCTTGAGTGCCACAAACAGGGGAAGGACTCTGTAAGCAGCTCAAACCATGGTTTAGAGGGAACAGGGTGGGGATGAGGTACCCCCTATAAGATAATTGAAAGATGTAAAGACCGAGAAAGAAATGAGAAGGAATTATTGAAAGCAGTAATAGAATTAAACTAAGAAAAAAAGAAGTTTATATTAAATATTAGGGAAGACTTCCTGACAGAGATTTTTCAGACTGCAGAATAGTCTTTCAAGGGAAGTATTAAACTCTAGTGCTTATGATTTTAAAAGCACTAACAGGCCAAACACTATGCTGAGTAGTGTAGGGAACAAATCCTGCATTTACAGAGGATAGATGAGATGACATAAGGTCCTTTTAGCATTTAACTTCTAATTATGCTAATCAATATGTTCCAAGTGCTTAAATGTGCATTTTAATTAAAATTCTTAATATGTTCCTCTAATTTTATGCTAAGAAGAGATGTTAAGAGGAATCACATGAAAATGCTGATATTTTGTGGTGCAAATGTACATATATAATCATTTAATAGATTGACTGTTTAATTCTAATACTCTATTTTCTGTTTCAGGGTACAAGTTGAATTTTATATGAATGAAAATACATTTAAAGAGAGACTGAAGCTATTTTTCATCAAAAACCAAAGATCAAGTAAGCAGTTTTGATTAATTTCTGTTACATGCATTTGTTAAATATAGGAGATGAAATCTGTGTCCCATTAGAGTCAATATCAGGAGTTCCACTGACTTCAATTGGGCCAAGATTTCATCCATAGGAGATTAGCAGATTCTGTTTTTAACAGAATTTCCATAATGAATTCTCAAAAGACATTAGCAATTGAGTGTTTTTTTTCTTTTTCATTTTGTTGGGGACAACTATTTATTGACTGGGTTTTATTTTTGCAATGTCTTCAGATGGACTAGTTTCCATGGATCTGACATGTCAGTGTATTTGGATGGGTCATCACATAGCTTTCTAAATGAGAAGAAAAGTTCCAGAGGCATGTGGGCTTCCAACCTGTTTTATTTTATCAAAATCCTCTTAAATTAATTTCAAACTCTATCAAGGTTGCAAAAATAATTTAGAAAGGTGACCAGCTGAAAGGTCATCCCGGCTTCTAAGGCATTTCTGAACATGGTATTTCAGATACAAACAAATTTTAGTTGCCTTGTAATCTTTTTTCCTTTAGCCCTGATTCAGCTGGCTATCCACATTCACCAAAGTACATTAACTGCTTTGCTGAATGGGGCCTAGATAATTTTTCACTCAGATTGTCATATTTAAAACTAACCGTGATCTTTTTCCTGCTTTTAAAATTAACTAACACCAAATATGCACTGGGGAGAAATTCACCCCATGCAAAGCGCTTCCATTATGCTGTATCCATAACTTATTTACAGCCTGTATGAAAGCTCAAATTCAACCAGGAGATGGAGGGCCAGTGCAAGATTCCCCCCACTACCTAGGATGATTGCAGGTAGGGTGACCAGATGTCCTGATTTTATTGGGGCAGTCCCAATATTCAGGGCTTTTTCTTATATAGGCACCTATTATCCCCCACCCTGATTTTTCACACTTGCTATCTGGTCACCCTAATTGCAGGAGGAAACTGTGGCCAGAAGATCTACGTGAGATGCAGTCCATACATGTTGTGGAAAGAGTCTCCAACCAGACCTGCTTAGGCCATCACAGAAAGCCACAATGGGCAGGGGCTATGACATTTACCTTTATATTCATCCAGTCATTCCCAAACCCCATGCAACAGCCTGAATGAAATAAAATCTGATGTGTATCCCTTAACTGTGAGGAAGGCAACTACACACTCTGGCCTCATGTGTTAGCATTGTTGATGTTACTACCTTTTGCCCTCTACCCATATAGAGCCAGATTACAGTCGCTTTATGCAGGTGGGGGAATGGATTTTACCCTAAGTACTTAAGTACAGTTCAGGTGGGTGCAGGGCTTGGTGCAGATAAAAGATTATTTTCACCCTTGCATTATACGAAGAAGGGGTAAGTGGACAGATTTTTAAAGAGAGAGACAAGGTGGTTGAGGTAATAACTTTTTATTGGACTAACTTCTGTTGGTGAAAGAGACAAGCGTTCAAGCTACACTGAGTAATTTTCCAAGACTTGAAGAGCTCAGAGAGTCACAGCAAAATACAAGGTGGAACAGATTGTTTAGCATAACAGACACATTTAAAATGAAGTGGTCCCTTAGAATATGTGTTAGCATCCTCATGCTAAACAATCTGTTCCACTTTATATTTAGCTGTGACATTCTGAGTACCTTTCCCAGACCTGGAGAAGAGCTCAGTGTAGCTCAAAAGCTTGTCTCTTTCATCAACAGAAGTTGGTCCAAAGTGGTCATCCACTTTGTCTCTCTAATATCCTGGGACCAACACTGCTACACCACCACTGCAAACAGATTTTTAAAAGCTTTCAGTGGTAGCCATGTTAGTCTGTATCAGCAAAAAAATCGAGGAGTCCTTGTGGTACCTTAGAGACTAACAAATTTATTTGGGCATAAGCTTTCGTGGGCTAGAACCCACTTCATCAGATGTATGAAGTAAAAAATACAGGAGCAGGTATAAATACACGAAAGGATGGGGGTGCTTTACCAAGTGTTAGGTCAGTCTAACGAGATACATCAATTAACAGCAAGATACCAAGATTTTTAAAAGGTATTTAGACAGGTAGTGATGCAGATAAGCACCTAGTGGGATTTTCAAGAGTGAATAGGAATTCCAAATTCCATTGAAATCAAAACTGAAAATTATCAGTAAATGGAGCAAATTCAGCATGTGTGAACTCAGACTCCATTTTAGGAATACTGTTGTGATCAGTGCAGCTCTGAAGTAGAACAAGCAAAAGAGACCTAAAGACTTCAGACTTGGATGTCTAAATCCCTCTTTGAGCAACAAATAGAAGTGTATGGATTTTCTTCCCCTCCCCCCCCCCTTGATACTCTTACTCACACTCAATAGAGCTCTACTTGACTAAAGTGGGAATACTCATGGTGTAAATTACTATTCAACATGAATAAGGCCCATGGTTAGGTCAGAGTACAAACATCCCAACAAGAAGTATTGTATGAAAAATTCTTAAAGTACTTCAGAACAGTCATGTTACAATGCAAAATAGACAGTAACGCTTCTGTATACCTTGAGTCAGTGAATAAAAATGGTATTGAATATATATGTAAGACTATATTTGCACTCAGATTAATCAAAACAGTGGAGATTTCTGTATAGTAGAAATATATTCTGAACCTACAGCCTTGAAGCAGTGATTTCAACATCCACATCTCAATCAATCTTCAGTGTTGCTTTTAAATCTGTAAAATCTTCTCAGCACAAATTTAAGTCAGTGTAAGCTTCTCTAATGCACACAGCTCATGTCAAAACTACAGGGCCGGCTCCAGGCACCAGCCGACCAAGCACGTGCTTGGGGCGGCACCTTGTAAGGGGCGGCCAATCTTGGGGTTGTGGGGGGCACTAAGGGTTTTTTGTTTTGGTTCGGCAGGGTGGCTCTCAAGGGTTTTGTTGTTGTTGCTTTTGGTTCGGCTGTGCGGCGCTCGGGGGGGTGGTTGTTTTTGTTTCGGTGGGGTGGCGTGGCGCGGTGCTCGGGGGGGGTCGGCAGCATGGCGCTCGGGGGGGGGGTGTTTCGGCGGCGTGGCGCTCGGGGGGATGTTTTGGCTGGGCGGCGCGGCGCTCGGGGTTGAGGTGGTGTTACGGCCGGGCGGTGCTTCTTTTTTTTTTTCGGCTTGGGGCAGAAAAAAAGTTAGAGCCGGCCTTGCAAAACTATCTGTTTTTTTGCTTGTGTAGCAATGCTGCAGAAACATTCCTACATATTTGGTGGACGTGGCATACTTACCAGTTATGTACATAGCCTTTTGAGTACGGGCAAATTAACCTATTTGGAATTCAATTCACAGATCAAGACATATCTTTTTCATTATCCTGACACCTACCAAATTTATGTTTCTGGCAGCTAATTGGAAGTCTACATACCAATTAAAATAAGCATCTGGTTCCAGAAAATTGGGAATATAGTTGTTATGAAAAAATTGACATGTTGAGAGTGGAACTTGCATTTTTGAAATGTAATAGCCCTTTTTGGACTACACTAAGAGTAGGGATCCAGGAAACTGGGCTCACTTAGGACAATAGAGAATGTTTCTTTGTTCCGTGTGTATGTAGTCCTTTTTATATAAGAAGGGGTTATATGTATGTAACACAATCTCCTATACTCCCTTGATTGTATGTTAACTAGTCTCTGGGCATGTTGCAAAGAAGGAATTGCTTTGCCTGTACGCTATTGTGATAATGATAGATTGACATATTTAAAGTGCTATTGATAGGGGATTTATTGGATTATATTAATCCTCCATTCCCCTCACTGCCTGCCCCCCCATTTCTTTGTTTCAGTTGTCCTGCTCGCAAGCTCCTGCTTGCATGTTTGATTACACTGATGCCTCTTCTCATGTTAATGCATCACTATATTTCCACATAATTAATATTGTTAGACACCTATGAACCTGGCTCTTCAATTGCTCCCTTAGTCATTTATTTTCCCACTCATTAGAACGGGAAGGAAATTCTAAATATATATATAATTGCAAAAATAAACACATTTGGATCGACTGAAACATCGACTGAATTCCTGTTGATTTTGGCAAGTTGTTTTGGTTGAAACAAAAATAATTTTGGAAATGTTGAATTGGTTCATTTTGACATTATCAAAATAGCCGAAAATGAAAAAAAACGTTTTACTTTGACCAGGGGATTCAGACATCATTCACCAAACAAAGAGCAGTGGTTAGGCCATTGAATAGCCACTCTGGAGCAGGAACTTGACTGCAGGTCTCCCTTCCCTCCCAGTTGAGTGTCCTAACCACTGGGCTATATTCTGGGGTAGGAATTGGTCCTGTTGAAACTGTTCCCCTTTGTATAAGATACCTAACTATCCATTGGACTACAGTGTGACTGACTCTATAGTCCAGTAGTTAGAGCACTCAGTGGGGAGAGGGCAGGGGACACCTAGATTCCAGTTCCTGCACCAATGACTTTTCAAGTAATTTTATACAACATGGAAAAGCTTCAACAGGAGAGAGACACAGACCCACCCCAGAGTACCCAATAGGCTGGTAGTTAGGATATTCACCTGGCAGGGTGTTGGAAAAGATCTGTGTTCAAGTTTCTGCTCTAGAGCAGGGACTCAGATCTAGCCAGGTGAGTGCCCTAAATACCGCTCTATTGAATATAAAGGGGAGGAGTGGCAGCACTTTATTTGTATTACCATAGAATGTAGGAGTCCTAGTCATGGACCTCTTCCTTTTCTTCCCCTACAGTCCACAGATTTGCAGGAAGGCTTCCACAAAGAGAGCTAGTTAAAATGACATTGCCTTTAAATTGTAAATTAAAGTAGTTGGAATCAGGGAAGCAAGTCTGAGCAATCCTATTCAAGATCCCATAGCATATTCAAAGCATTACTGGGTTCTTATGAGCTGTACACTATAATTAATGATTTTTTTAAAATGCAATTTCCAGTATTAAAAGTTTACTGTAAACACACCCAGGAAACAGGTCTCCTCACAACAAAGTTATCTGTCCAGTGATATGGAAACCACAAAAAGTACAAGAGTTAATA